GAAAATTTCCAATGTCTCTCCATTCCTATATGATTATAATTACCTATATTTGCAGTCCGTTCTCCAGTATATATTAATTGGTCACAAGAGAAGCAAATTGCTAATCCGATTGTAGAAGCATATGTACTTAGAGTAGGGACTAGTACCAATTTCCTAGCTTCAAGATATTTTTTACTTTCAGTAGGCAAAAGATCATTCTTTCTAAAATACTGTAAGCGAGGTCAAATTCGATCCATCCACTCACTAGGAGTTTCATTAATACGAACTTGAGGCATCTCTACATATTCATACCATTCATTATCAGTACAATTGGTTCCACGTAAATCGCTTACACTAACCATTTTATATGACTTATTTGTAGTGATTATGGAAGTTATATATAATTTATATCATATTTTAGGAATTCAGACCTATTTGATTTTAATAACTTATACTCTAGAATATATCGGATTCAATTTTTGTTGATTTCAGTTCTCCTTGAATAATGTATATATTCGATATACACCTTTACAATAGAAGCCCTTCATATTTAGTGATTTTAGTTATATATCATATATATATCACACGTATATCATCAGAACTGTTGAAAACATTGTTAATCTTTTTAGCTCATTATCTTTCAGCTCTTTAGTATCTAAATCTGATAAAAACACCCTATTTCAAATATATGCTTCAATCTTGAAATATACCCACTATGTAACTGCTTTTGACAAGTACCAAAACTGGTCCATAAATTGCACTGGTAAATAGTTGTGAGATTCTCTTCTGACAATTCACTTCACATTGTTTGTTCATGGTCAGTTTATATATTCCAAAAACAAATTATCGGAGGTGAATATACAGTGGCTATAATCTGGCTTCGAGTTCAAAGAACGAGAAGGCGAGACATCTTCGCTAAAGTAATTAACCTATCATGTGTTATGTGTGTCATGGAAAGAATTTGAATATAATAGAATCTGCGATATATTGATAACATGTATCACAGAAGAAATTCGAAATTCCAATGTATGTGTGATGATCCGATTAACTCACCTGCGAAGTGCAAGATAACCAAATTCAGTAAATCAACACATGCCATTTTCTTACAAAAGTGATCATGACATTTTGTCACGGTTTTGCGAATCATCTAAATAATATAGTTTTAACTTGGCAACAAAATGTCTAAAATACACGAATATTTCAATCGAAGTTATAATAATTGGTGTATCACAGGGTTTTTAAACGAATGCAATAAGGGACCGTTCCGAAAGAAGATAGGAATTTATCTAAAAGACCTTGAGGCTATTAATGACCATGAACGAGGAAAGAAGCAGAAAAAGGTACGACTTCTCCTTGACAGGTACAGGAAAGCGAGTAAAAATTTTTTTTATTGAAATATAGATAAAGTAGTGTGGCAGGAATCTTCAGGCTTCTCCGTCATTCAAGTCTTTAGGCCGAGCTACAAAACCAGTGTTGTGGTACAGGTGATCTTTAGGCTTACCTGATGCTTCAAGTCTTTAGGCCGAGCCAATGCTGGATCCCATTGGAGCACAGTTAATCTTTAGGCTTAACTGATATTCGGATGGGATTGGAATGAAAATTAGAGCATATTAATTAAGAATATTGCTAAGTGCTCAAGTTTTCTATTATAGGGATCTCAGCCGAATTGAGAAATTGCAAAGAGGTGGGAGGAGGAACACACAGAAAATAGGCAGATTCATTTACACCAGCCAACATTTACAAGTAGTCGGCATAATAATGTGAATATAAATGGGATAACAAATGGCGGATCTTTTGTTACTGGATTATCTGATAGAATTACATTAAACAAAAAAGAAACCATATCAACAAAAGAATGTGCCAATAATAATTATGATGAAGAGGTTAGTAACATTTCTTTGCTTTGCTGTTATCTGTTTTGATCTGATCTTTTTTTATGATTCGCAGAATCTTTCTTGTGATTTGGAAGATGAAGAACAAAAAGAGGATGAGGCTAAGACAAAAGAAAACAAAGTAGTTATTTATGGATTTCTGTTTTGATATTTGACAAAATTAACATAAAGCCTTTTTACGTCCACATAGACAGGTCCATTTCTCCTCACTGAAGAATACCGAAAGATGATTAAGCAGGCATATAATGATATGAAAGAAGAGAAAATGTGGAGACTTTCCACAGGAAAATATGTCGAAAAAGAATTATTTGAAATTAGAAAGAAATTAAAATTTGAGCAGTAAGTGACTTTCTGGTAGTAATTGTGTTCTAAAAAATAAAAATTGCACTAAACTATATTTGTTAATTAGTACTGCTCATTCATTTATTTTGGATGTGGATGATGAGGTTATTAGCTAATGTTTCAATGAAACGGAACTTAAGGAAATTGATAGTGCATCTGGTTCACATGTACCTGAGCTTTCAGTGAAATTGTTGAATTTCTAAACAAATTTGATGACAAGGTAATGCTTTATTTACATACTATTGGCAAATATATGTGTATTGCAACAAGTTATCAATCTCTCTGTTGTAGACGAGCTTGAATGAGATTTGAAAAATCATAAAGGAAATGATGTTTGACGATAATTATGATCATGAAAAATATTATAATAAAGATTACATCATCTATGCTTTATATTTATTGTGAGTATTTGTTTTTTGTTATTGGCTTGACACGCATCAATGCTAAATTAACTAAATCTATTTTGTAGACTAAGAAAAATTCAAAATGGAAAATTAAAGGATACAAATCTTGAAGCGTGGTTTAATTGTCATGTATGGAATGCGATCTTTGATCAAGTCTTTGGAGACTTAAATGCAATATCTGTCGTCAGGTAACTTTTTTTCTAAAAATAAATATTGTTTCGTTATATCTAACAGGATTTCTTTTAACAATTTTAGAGGGGAGAGTACAAGTTTGATATCAGCATTACGAAAGAATGCAAAAAGTCAAACAGGCGAACGTCGAAAAATGGGTTGTAGGAGTGATTGGATCTTGAGGTCTACTGGTAGTGGCGACAGAGATGAGTTCGGAGCTGGGGAACATCAGTAATTATATTAATTCGAAAACCTTCGAAATTATATCGCAACGTTAGATTTCGAAGGTTATCGATTGTGT